ACACCTCACAGTTTATTTATTGTTCGACACAATAATCAGACTTTCTGTTGTTATTTGAAACAATATTATTGTCTAATCAGTTACTTTTGTTTATTACCAATGATTTATACAATGATTTTTATGTACTTAGATTTGATTGGTTCAGTAAGTGAATTATTTCGCTGTATGTCGACGTAGTTGAACAATCGTTTTTTCTGAAGTTTGTTTATCCAGGGGTTCAAGGACTGTCATCATTTAATTAAACGGAGTTTATTTTATCAAAACTTGTCACATTTTCTTAAAAGTAGTATCGTAACACTTACAAGATAAGCAAAGAACGTTTCGTGAATTATAGAATGAAGTAAGGGTCCGTAGGTTATTGCTAAGCTACATTATGTTGTCATGGATGTATAGTAGTCAGTTCCACAAAAGAAAATGACAGGTTCGCAAATGTTTGCAGATTCTTTCCTTATAATTCCTCCATTAATTAATTGATATTATTAGCTTTAGATATAAAAAATTAATTTCCTAAACTCTGCACATTTTTCATACAGTGGATTCTTAGAAAAAATACTTAAGTAAAGTGCGAATGTTAATATTATCTCAATATAATCAGTTGATCAAAACTGAGTGGAGGCGAATTTTTTGCAATGATTTGCGTCTGCACAGTCTTCTGAAATAAAAAAGTCAAAAGAAAACGAACAAGGTATTTTAAAATGAATTTGAAGTTAACAGAACAAGATAATGTTAATGTACGAAAACCGCTAATACCGAATTCGTGCTCTATCACGAATCCAATCACTACCTCATGCTGAAATTTGAAGTCCATGAATTTTTTTTCAATTTCGACTGTTTTGTATCCGTGGTTAAAACTTGACACTCAACACCATTTTTCGTTCGGTGGTTCTGTGCTTATAACCAACTCTCCCGGTTATTGATTTCTAGTCATTTGTTGTTTTTCCACGTCATTCACTTTTAGCTCTCATGTTTCAGTTGAAAAGTGCAAGTAGTGCACACGACTTTATTACAAACTGGATCTTTAATACATGTTTGGAAATCCTGTTGGTTCTAAATAGGTAGCGTAATAGATGAAGAGATCACATGAATTGACACGACAGTACGAAACAGATTATATTAAATAACATAAAAAAAAACAATGAATACTATTTCTCCTCAAAATATCTTGTTTCACTTTTTTTACTGCCAAAATACAACTGAACACCTATTTCTAACAACCTAACTGCAATAAAGATGTCAAGTGATTGATTCAACAGAAAATATCCATTAATAATATTTAGGTTTTGCCTGATTTAAATTTTGTTCAAATTTATGACTTTTCATCAGTAATCCATTACGCATTCATGGGGATAAAGTGAACTCCGAAGACATAGAAAAACCATACGTACAAATTGCCTTACCCAGTTCTTCTGAAGTCTCTACTTCTGTTGGCCATTCTTTGCTGTGTAGTCCTATGACTCATTGCCAACTTGTTGACAAGATTGCCAATTTGAATTGTACATTACAATCTGTACAAGATTCGGTAGGTTATTAAAAAGCTGTTTACTGTATCATTTCGATCATTTTAACATCTGCATGTTTGCCAGTCAAGTATCTGAAACACTTCTTTGTGTAAAAGTGGGTTTTGTCCCGTTTTGATGTTGGTATAATGTAAAGTATGCTTCTAGATACACGGTTATTCATGTTTATATCTCCGAAATACTTGCTTGATTGTTCACACGTTTGAGTAAATGATAACTCTAATATAAAGAAAATCCATAGGAAACGTTTTGTGGAAGTCAATTTTTAAAGTTATTCTAGGTATTGATAAACCCCATTAATACTACCTATATTTTTACTAATTCTTTATTTATTAAGCACCACTATGTCTGTAAAGCAATCAAATAAGCTTATTTCAGACAGCGCCGTAGATGTATAGATCAAATTATTATCCTTCGATAGGCTTTTAGCTAAAGGCAAACTACTTGGTGCATGATTATAAGATCTCTTGACTTTAAGCCAATATTGATTTTGGTGAGTCGTTTTCTGGACTGGTTAGGCTAATTGGTGGTTCGTAGAACTACTCGTCCTCACTATTTCTTTTAGTTTTGTCACAATTTTTCTGTAGATATCAACCCCTATCGAGAGACGTTTTCATTTATTTCTGATGTAGATATTTACAGTTAAGACGTAAGAATTTTTGGCAAACGTCCTCTTTGAAAGTATCTCTTCAGGAGTGGTTCGCTTCAGTTTGTAGTCTATTTATAGGAAGTCAGATAGTTGTATGTTTTGTTGGATTAGGTAAAGAGGCATGTTTGGCTTCTGTCAACTGTTATTTGCTACTTAAGATGTCCTCCTTATCAATTAGTGGGCAAGTGTATAGTGTCACATCAGTCTCTTATTTTGTGTCTATGAAACTTTGACTTTCATAGTTAGAAACTTGCATAGATTGTTAGGGTTCGGTCGTAGGTATTTTCGAAACATTAATTAGTTTTGTTGAAGATAAACATAGGACATGAAAAAAGGTCGCTTACAGTATCGGGGTTGTTGATATACATCTCTGGGAAATAGTTCTATCTGATAAGTTAACACTTTTTCAAAATTCGAATTTTAGACTAAGAAATCCGTCAAATCCGAAAAATTGAAGTTGTGGCATTTAAAAGCTCTCTGTTTTAACTTAATTCCCCCTTTTATTGAAAGATCCAGAACTATTTGCTCTGCCACTTAGTCTTTCTTATTTGTATTGTATGATTTATTGTGATGTATTTTCTCAATCATTTTACACACCGGAACATATTTTTGTGCCCAGCATTGATTGTCACATCACTGACTGAATCCATCTGAAATTTATCGTTTGCTTGTTTTCAACGGTATCTCAGTAGGAACGTGGTTGTAAAGAACTACTAAAGTTCAGTGCGTCACAATAATTTCTTCAACACAAAGCATCTATGCGCTGCAATTGAAGGTAATCTTAGAATATAACCTCATCCTACTAAATTTCGCTGGTGTATGTTGAATTTTTTACCATTATCTCAGTCCTTTCTGAATTTAGGGTCTCAATCAAAAGGTCATCATATTGCAAGAAAAATTACTAGCCCAAACTCGGTTAATTGATAATTTCAGACAGGTGAGTAATATTTGCATAAGTATACTTGTTCGTTGTAATTTAATGATTCGTTATAAATTCTCTTTTTTCGACAGTGTACAGTATGGCCACGTGTATACAGCCACTGCCAGGAAAGTCCTACTCACTGCCTTCTCGCGGCATTACTGTTGATTACGAAATCGAGAGGACGAAAAGCGAATGTCTGGCACTTTAACCGAGTTGGTGGATAAATAGGATCCACCTAGGGTAGTTGGAAAATCCTGATTCTGTCCAAATCATATATATCTTGTACATAGACATCGGTCACCAAAAGAAATTACTAGGTAACTTCAACAAATGTACTGCTCTTCTGCTACAAATCACAGTATGTCAATGTACAGACTGACTTTAATTTGTAGTCGGTATTTAAAATATATAGCGGGACAGATTTTTTTCCCATTGCTACTGATCGTTGCTCTTGTTATTGCAAATACTTTATAAACCTGATGGTTTTTTATTGAATCCGGCCACTTTAATTCCCACAGGAGGAATAGAAACTGCGGAAACACAATCAGGCTGTTTAGCGAACGTTTTTGGTGACAAGTGCCATCGCATATAACCCGTTAGTCTTTTTAAATATTTCTGATTAGAGATGTTTAGTCTGTGAACTTGTGTACGTTTTTTCCGTTGTATTAAACAACTAAGGCGCACAAGACGTCTACCTGATTGTTTATTAGCGTTTTGTGTGTGTGATTAAAAGAAGCTACATACTTATGCGATACAAAATTACAGCACTCTCTTATCAATCAGAACATTTAGACTGTGATATACTGTTTTATTTTAGGCCTTTGACAAGTTGAACCAGGAATACCAAGCTATATTGCAATTATTTCCTCATTTGTTGAAGAAAGTTGCGCACATGACCTTACCCGACAATGAACTCGGCGGTAAAACAAGTCATTTGGTAAGTTCGCGTTGGAATTCTTCAGGTGGTTATTATCCTAGAGTTCTCGAGTTGTTTGTCAGTTCTATAAAACTTGTGAGATAAGCTTTATCCAGTAACAACTTTATATAATCTGTAAGTTTTCTGTTGTTTTTTTTTCTTCAGAATACGGAGCTACGTTCGATCCTCCCCTTTATGGATACTTCAGTTAACCAACTAAGACATACCGTAAGTCATGCTCCCTCCATCCTCATTTAATCGACGTTGGCCTAATCGTTTTCCATAACCTTAACATAGCTTAGAAACACAATGACTGCAGCCGTAACTCATATAACGTATGTGAATATGAAGGTGATGTGATATAGACGTAAACAATACACGGTAGATGTTATGAATCTGAACTGTGTATCAGATTAACCACTAATTACCATCTCAAAAAGTTAGGGAAATCAAATATGAGCATATTACAGACGCGGAGGAATTAAAAGATCCAAAAGCCTACAGTCTATTATTTCTACTTTCTAGATGGTGAACGTAGCAACGCCGTTCGCTCGCACATGATACCGTTAAATAGGTATGATGATAACATTTTTTTCAATAGAAACTATGTCCATAGACAAATTGCTTTGGCTGTAAAGGATCATCTGATACCAGCCATTTCATGTAGGCTTCCGACATAATCTAATATCCATTTTTATCATTTCAGGTTTCTACCTGTGTACCAGAAAAACCCAGGTTTGAGGCATCTGAACTTAGATGAAGCTGCATGTTCGCAGAGCGTCAAAGTTTATGTACATAAAATGTTTCTTGTAAATAAATTATCCTTGCATATTATTCTAAGTATTTCTTTATTCAGTAATTCTTACAGAGCTCTTATCACGTCTGGTTATAGTATCTATCCTTTACTGCCATGCATAAGACTTTTGAATCATTCTCTCGTCCAGTTCCCTATTTTTCAAATATCGGCGGACCGGATGGTTGAAAATATCACAATCTGAGAGAATAATAAATGTATATTTCTGAACATGAAATCATATGGAAATTGGAGAGGATTATACAATCTGGTTTTTCTTCAGCGATGCCGAGGATCTATAAAAGGAAACAGTAAAACTGATTAAAAAACTCCATACACAAATCATCGAGTTCACATAAATGTCGAAATTCTATGTAGTTATCTATTCAAATAGAGTACATTCCACATGATTCTCATAAACCGATGCGACTTAAAGGAACCTTGGTCTAAAAATAGTGCTCTTCAATACTAGCAGAATTACTCGAATATCTTCAACTTCATACTGGCGTTGATGTCCAATAGTCCTAGTAGAGGTATAAACTCGACTTTAATTGGCTACCTGCGTACTGGAGAAAATGGAATACTAAAGCTTAGGGACGCCACAAAGAACGGACATTCCAAAAACACCACAATAAACCAGTTTAAACTTGATGAATCCATCTATTTAGCAGAAATCTTGTTCAGAATTTGTAATTACTTAGCTTAACTTCCAGACAGCATATATTTTGGTAAATGTTGATTGAGGACAGAAATAAAAAGTAATCTAGTGTATTTTTCAAGTTTATAATCCCATTAAGGTAAAATCCAGGGAATTTGTGACGATATATCTTGAAATTTAACCACAAACATACTTAGACCTCAACGTCATTTAAAGCCTTTTCTATCTGGAGAAACGGTGCCGTCAAAGTTCATACCTAAAAAGGGAAGAAAGAGGGTTTTCAGAAGTCTGAAACGTCTATTAATCTGTCGATTCTTTCATCTAGATTGTTATGGTGCGAGACACTCATGTGACAATGCACCGAACCAAAAGTTTTGCAGAACCAGAAGCTGAACATAACCATCATTCGGAAAATATTGATATACCAAAAAATATCAGATTTTAGCTGTAGTCTTGTGCTGCTTTATCTATCTTGAGAATCGACTTACCTTCGTGAATTGCTTCTATGTGTCGTTTTAGGCTCGATTTCTGTGAGAAATTTCGCTGGCATACCTCACATCCGAATGGCTTGAGACCTATATAGAAAGTTTACCTGAAGTAGAAAACACTAGCCAACCTTTGTGAACAGCGTCGATGTGTTTATGGAGATCAGAGTTTCTAGTGAATCCTTTATAACAATAAGTGCACTCAAACGGTTTTACACCTAAAATATAATCAAAAACCCTAAGAGGTGAGTAGGTATTGAAGAAAAACAGGTAAAAACGCTTTACAGACAAAAAGTGTTTACAACAGAATCTGACCTTTATGGACTGCTTTGATATGTGTGTTCAAATTACAGTGTTTAGTAAATACTTTGTTGCAAAATGCACAATTTAGAACTCGGAAATCTGTTGCAATCAATAAAAAGAGAAAAGATAGACACAGTTAGGAGTAACACGATACACTGAAGTACAGTAACTTAGAAAATATCTACAATAATTTTATTAAGAGGGATTTTTCAGTTGATTAACATTGTTGAAAACCATCCAATAAGTATATACTGTCAACAGAATTATCAACCCCAACTGTTTGTTAAAGCTACCCTTTCTCTGCAGTTTTATCCAACTTATTTACAGATATCCATCTAAACAACTTTTCAGTCATTGACCTACCAGAATTGCTTGTTGATTTGGAATATGCAGGTGATATAGTCCTATTTGGTCACATTGAGCAGCAATACAAGCACGTTAGGGTCACGCAAGTGATGTTATAATATTGTGAAATGAAGAGTAGTAGCGTTTTACAATAAATAAATGAAACAAGGATAGCATGTGATAGATGTAGTTCGGGGAAAAATACAGCCAGTAAGACTTGGTTAGGATGGTTCAGCTCACTAAACTAGGATTACAATCAGTTTTTATTATGAGTTATATCTGACAATGTCCAACGCCACCGAACTGCACCATTCCTAGGACTGCAAACTAAGAACTTTGATACATCGACGGACGCCTATCCCGAGCAATGATCCTTCATATTAGGGGACCATATCATCAAGTGACCACCTCGGTGTAAACCAATAATGTGCTATCGGTTTTTCGAAGATGGTGACATTATTTTTTGTCCATCACTGTGGTCGAATACTCATAGCAGAACCTCGGAATTAGTAATACGTTGCCACCTGCTGATAGCAATCACCTGGAGGCAACGATCACTGAACACAAAGTAGCTTTCTTCCGTACCACGACACCATGTCATACATTGACCACCTCTCCGGTTTTCCCATCCGGTCCCAGAGTCGGCAAATAATGCACGACGTGGAATTCTCTGGGACGACATTCGTAGAACATGTCCAAGCCACCTAAGTCGGTGTTTCAAGATGGTGACACCGATTGAATTATTGTCGCTTTGCCCGAACACACGTTACCGAACCTCTGTATTACTAACATGTTGTTACCACTGGATGACATCAATCCTTCGGAGACAACGATGATCAAACGCAGAGAGTCGACTAGCATACTCAACTCGGAGAGGCCAGGTTTCACAAGCATAGAGCAAAACTGCTCTCACCGACGCGTTGTAGATCCGACCTTTTGCAGCCAGACTAACATCACGAAGGTGCCAAGGATGACCCGGATTGGCATTAGCCTCTCTGGCTTTCACTATACGTGCATTGATCTTATTACACACGTCACCACCAGCACTTATTCAGCTACCAGGATACATGAACTTCTCGACTACTTTTAACTGCTCACCATCCAGAGTGAGTACAGGATTAGGATCCTGCCAGTCTTGTAAAAGTACTTTGCACTTCGAAGGTGCAAGGCAAACACCATATCTCAAAGATAAACCTGTCAGGGCGTGCTGCTCTCCCACGCTTCAGATTTCCTATAGCTTTTTCGACTTCATAAAGAGTCGGAGGACCTACATTAACTTTCCTTTCAGGTCGACTGGAGATCGTGGGAAACCGAAGTGTGGCTGAAGGCCAGCTGAACTGATCTTTAAAGTGTTCTGCCCATCGATCTAATTTCCTGGGTTAATGTATAATATGTCCACTCTCTCCTTTCTTGTTTAATTTTGTCGTTGACGTGCTTTTGGAAATAACACTTTCCACATCTGAATTTCCAGGGGTTGAACATTTACCGGGAGATTCACTTGTTGACTTGGAATATGCCGATAACATAGTTCTATTTGGTGGAGACGCTGACAAAATGCAGAGTCTGCTGGCCACTCTAAGCAACAATGCATGCATGTTTGGCATGCGATTTTATCCCTCGAAATGCAAGATGTTGCTTCAGGATTGGGTAGCACCGCAACCCGAACTAGTGATAGGGAGTGTAGTTGAGAGTGTCGACCGCTCCACTTATCTTGGAAGTCTCATCAGCCCTTGTGGTTTGGTGTGTGACGAAATCTCAGCACGAATACAGAAGGCTCGACTAACTTTTGCCAACTTGCGTCATTTGTGGCGTAGGCGAGATTTCCGTCTATCAACCAAAGGACGTGTTTACTGCGCAGCAGTTCTTTCTATCCTAATTTATGGCAGTGAAACATGACCAGTAAGAGTAGAGGATATTCGTAGGTTACTAGTATTTGATCATATGTGTCTTCGAAACATTGCTCGTATATCCCGGGACCACCGAGTAAGCAACTCAGTTGTTAGGAAACGGGTACTAGGTAAGGATGGCAAATCAATTGAGGAAGTAGTGAAACTTAATCAGTTGACATGGCTGGGACATGTGTTACGCATGCCCGACCACCGACTGCCACGACGTGCGATGTTTTACGGTGTAGGAGTAGGTTGGAAGAAAGCTAGGGGCGGCCAGACCAAGACATGGCACAAATCCATGAAGTCGCTGACAAGTGGACTGAGTCATGTTGGTAGGTGTAGACTAGCTGGTTGGGGTCCCCGAGATGATATCAACCGATGGTTAGAGATCTTGAATGACATGGCTCAAAATCGTTTGCAATGGCTCAGGTGCATCCACTCTTTGTGTTCTCCCAAATTCTGATCTTCTGAATCCTTCATGTCCTTTTTCTTTCCAAATCTATCCCACTGGATTATGCTCCTTAAATAACATCATCAAACCTTAATATTTCCTATCACTACTTATACTTTCACTACCTCTACCACTACGGGATTTGAATCGATAACTGGATCTCTGTGCTAATGTGGTATGGCAACTCGAACCGATGTACGTACGTACGAAGTTCCACCTTGTTACTGACTGACTGTATAATATGTCCATCTTTGTAATCGGACATATTACTTCTGGGATAAGCTAAAAAGAGTGGCTAATAACGGTTTTTTTTCCCTTGACCCTGAATACACGTAAACAAACCATATTAATTAACACAATGGCATAAAACCTGAGAGAATTTAGGAATATGAGGTTGTTTCCTGTTGATATTTCGTAGGGCGATTTCAGTCACATGCTCGTACATAACAGTATTTTAGATACATTCGAGGAGAGAAAGCTAAAATGAGTATAGCGGTCATGATAATTACAAGTATTAACCACCTTACACTACTTTCAGGACAGACCATTTCCGGTGAGTACTAGCTTACTGTAAAGGATTGTAATTTCCATCCATTATGAGAACTTCATGCTTTGGTATTTCATCTCAGTATTTAGAAGAAACAGAACTGTTGACTGTTAGTACGTAGGGAAATGTACGGATGACGGTTATTTTGAGTAGCAAATTATAAAAACTAGATACACAATGCTGACGACACATGTCAAGACGTAATGCGATGCTAAATATTCAAAACACCATAGTGAATCTTACTTGCATCTTCTTCGCCATTACTTTTGCGACCTTGTTCATTCCCCATAGCGGCAAATCCACTTAGATCATATTGTTCAGTGTCTATCTCTGTACCTAATTCAAAACTACTTTAAATCTTCTGACGAGTTACCTTCATGCATTAATTCGAAATGTTTGTGTAGTAGACTCTGACTGGAAAACGTTTTACCACAAAGACAACAGATGCTGATAAGTTCGCCTGGAAACGATAGGATTAAAGTTAATAATTACCATCATCGCATGCATCAGCAAAAGTTGGCCCGACACCAGTTGGTTCGTTCATCTTGAAAGTCTATAGATATAAGACGACAAGATCAACAGTATTAAAATACCAGGAATTAGGGGATGAATACACAAGATAATCAATGAACTCGTAGTAGTGGTAGTAATAAACATAATATGAGAACTACGGACTTTTATTTACAGTTACAAAAGCATTCACCAGAGTATTTAATCTGAAGGAGCAACGTTGGTAGGTTTAAGAAATATCTACAATATCATATTATAAACACTTTTACTGTAGACGTGCTGAGTTTAATAATTGATTCTTTAACTGGCGTGTGATATGCTGATCATTTTCTTTTATAGGATTAAGATTCGGAAACGTCATCAAGTTGAGTAGCTTTAGTGATAACATGTCAAGTTGTGGATGTTTCTTAGATAGATTTGGAGTGTTGCCTTACTAGTTCGTTTGTAGGATAGTCAGTATCATCGAACGCATTGATTGGTTCACTCGCCCTTAGTACTAAATTGGCTTCCGGGCAGTTGAGGTTGGTGAAATCTTGGTCCATTGACTGAACCATAATCCAGTAACTGACGTCAACCATGATGCAGATTTTCCCACGTTTTACTAGTAGGTGCAACGTAGATATCAGCATTTGAAGTCTTATTTATTTATTTATTTTAACACATAAGTATAGGTACAGGGAGGCACCAAATACATATGCGCCACACAAATCTCAATTGATTTGTGTGAGGGCTGTGATACTGCCCGGGTGCCCAAACCGAAGCATTTGAAGTCTACTTAAATCTAAACAATAATCTACCCTTTAGAAACGACAATGAACACCGAACTTCTACGTCATTTAGACTCATGATATTTTATTAGTTTGTTTGAAAGGAACTTTTTAACAAATAATGAACTTTGGATGGAAGCTAGCAGATTTTTAGTGACAATCATATTAAACCAAACAGCAAATTGTGACACTACCGGTTACTTTGTATATATATATATATATATATATATATATATATATATATCATATTTAAGTGTAGCGAAAAACTAGGTTATTACGGAACACCAGTTTTATTGTGTTTGCTGATATTAAGCATCAACTATAATATCTAGAGTACGATGAAAACCCATAGAACAAGCTTTTCATGAGACAAAACAACGATGGATGAACTTACTGATGAATTTAATAACTTGAAGTAGACGGATTTTCGTGACACAACATCATTACTGAAAGTGCACGAACATCCTAATGTGAAGTAATTCGAAGTGAACTGATCTGTTTACTTAGTAGACAATGATTCCATACATAAACCTGGTGTTTGAAAAAAATGTAACAAGTGCACATAACTATGCATTCCCGAAGACTCTCGAATGAAAGGATTTCCAGTCAGTGAAATATGAGGCTAAAGACTAAAAAAAACAGCATAACTAGCAGCCAAACGTTGCAGTCTCATATTTTCCATAACTAAAATCGCTCACTGTAAATGTGTACGATGACATATTATTTACTTAAGATCCAAATTCGAAATACGAAACTTATGTTCCTTCTCTCATGAAGTTTCTACTTCAAAATAATCCGATTAGAGAATATTCAAAAGTGTAATCAAATGTAGCGATACATATGCGTTACACCAACGCAACATATTATGTATACCCAAACGTACCTGAACGCTCCAGGTGTATTTGCTCAGTTTTTTAGTCAATGTGAAGTAAAATTCCATAGTTTATAGTCTACACAATAGATCTCAGCGCACAATTGAACATTTTACGGAACCGATTCGTAAGCAGTCGAAGCTGCGCTCAAATATGACGACTGACAGTTAAAACAAGAAGGGTTCCTAACCGAAAATTCAAAAATCCTCGAAGTGTTCCTAAGTCTTAACGAGACTGTTTGTTATCCTTTACTGCCTCCTTAAAACTTTGAAATTATTTTTTATTTTCATGATCTGTACACACTTGACAATATTTGACACATATCTAGTGAGAATTGAAACACGTGAAACCAACTCTTGAACATGAAATAAGTTGCATTTTTACGAACCACTAGAAGTAGTGACGTGTAATTCACTTCCATGACTTCGTCGCATTTCCCATTGACACTGAATTAATTATAATGATCTATGGGGTAAATGAAATATCACCCGACACTTGACAAATCATCCATAAGGTTAGACCATCTCTATGTTGAAAAAAAGGTCACTGATCATTGGAAAATCTGTTGAAAATCGTCTAGGGTGACTGGTTCGAAGATTACACCTTGAATTTTGCAACCTGTTAATCATGGTATATTCCGTTGTTTATCACGAGTATTTATTCAAACCAGTCATTCACATAGCCCATTAACCTGGTCATCACGAAAGGATAACATGGGCTAGTAGGTTACACCATTTTCAATAAACTCGAGTAGGCCGCGATCATTGATACAGATCATATACGTATCTTTTCGGCATGATAGATTACTGTGTAATTCATAGGATTTGTAGCGGCAAATGAATCACCAAAATAAATAGCTCTGTAAGCTTTCGACATTGGATGCTGACCACAGTTTCAGTGGACTCATCTAGCCGAAGGCGCTCGGTCAAGCATCCGCACCAGATCACATGTGGGAACGCCGTGCAAACATCTGCCGCGATCGCTAGCCAGATTAGTTCAAACGATCCTCGATATATTGATAGCTTATCAAATATATCTTCGATCTCCCCGCTTCTGTCCTTTGATTTCACTTGGTGGGTACGCTTCATATTAGAAGGTGTTACTGGCTAAAGCATTGTCAAACTCCGAATACCTGTGGCATCTTCATCGGTGAGCCCGACGTGATCTGGTACACTAAATTGCAAACTGTGAGACTATTCCTTTTTGTGATTTTATATATCATTGTCTTATTTTAATTTTTCATACATTGTGATTTTTTTCCGCGTTTTTTGGATATATATTTCCTACTCGTTCATTTTTCGTACTTGATATATTACTATGACTGAACAGACACCTAAGGTGTTTAAGTTTAAGACTTTGTCCCCAACTTCGTTCCAACTAATGCCCTTCTGGCCAGACAACATCGAAGTCTGGTTTTGCTACGCAGAAGCCGACTTCTACGAGCACGGTGTGAATGACACACGTGCACAATTCCTCGCAGTAGTCAAGGCACTACCGCGCGAATTTAACGGGTACGTAACACCTAGTATGTTTACTAGTGATGTTTCTGACCCATACAAAACCCTCAAACATGCCATCCTTAAACGCGGTGATCTAACCGATCGACAAAGGTTAGACCGACTCCTTAACAACATCGACCTGCAACACGGCTCCGCCACAGACATGTTGCAAAGAATGAGAGAGGTTAATGACCAAAGAACCTTCGATGATGGCCTATTCAAACAGCTTTTCTTATCAAAACTTCCTCAACAGGTGCAAGCTGTGCTAGTCTCGTTTCAAAACAACGCCGTAGACGAGCTGGCTGCATCTGCCGACCACATCCTCGAAGTTACTAAATCTTCTAATGCCGAGGATTTTTTAGTCAAAGAAAAGCCTCAAACCACCCAGAATGACATAGCAGAGTTATGTCATACACCTAAGCGTTATCTTAAACTTCGCAACGACCGTAAACGGTCACACACCCCGCAAAGAAGCACATCACGTAGGCGATCTGTCTCTAGACCTCGAGAGACGGATAATCCTGACTGGTGCTGGTATCATAACCAGTATGGAGAGTCCGCCAGAAATTGCAGAAAACCCTGCAATTTTCCCAACGCAAAATCGGTCGATGCGAAGAATGTTTCGGGAAACGTCCAAGCCGGCACGCGTTAACGGCAGCCGTAGCCGGCGAACATAGCCGTCTTTTATATGTCACTGATGTGATAACGAGAGTTCGCTACATCGTCGATACTTTCGCAGAAGTTAGCGTTCTCGCAGCGAATTCCAACGACCGGCTTCACGAGTCGGTTTTAAATCTACAGGCTGCGAACGGAAAGCCTATCGCTACGTATGGCGAAAGGTAGGTTTATCTTAACGTGGGTTTACGCAAACCCATTCACTGGATCTTTGTTGTTGCGGATGTTCCTATGCCAATCATTGGTATGGACCTTCTACAGCACCACAACTTAATTATCGACCCGCGCAAACGGAGGCTAGTAGATGGAAATACTAATTTATCTGTTTGTCTGACTTCTTTTTCTGGTTTCAGGTTATCTCCAGTCACTATTAAGCACACTATAGACCCATTCCATCAACCACTACTCGATAAGTATTCTGGCATTTACCAATCGCAACCGAAATTGCCGTGTGTAACCAGCAACGTTACACATCACATCACGACTACAGGACCATCTGTATTCTCTAAAGCACGCCGACTGGCCCCCGAGAAGTTAAGGTTGGTGAAAAACGAATTTGACCATATGATAGACTTAGGAATCATACGACCGTCAAATAGCCCATGGGCATCTTCGTTGCACATGGGGCCTAAAAAGGACAGCAAAGATTAGCGCCCTTCGGACTCTATGAATTTTTGCGAATGCCTTTCGGTCTGAAAAACGCGGCACAGACTCTCCAAATGTTCATAGATGATGTTTTTCGAGGTCTCAACTTCGTACATGCGTTTTTTGATGACTGCCTTATAGCAAGTCCGGACAGAGAACCACATCTCCAGCATCTGGATCTTGTTTCCGACTGACTTCAAAAACATGGCATTACATTTAACGGTCTGGTAACTGTCTATAGACGGTTCATACCAAAATGCGCGTCCCTTATGAAACCTCTTACCGACCAACTTTGTGGAAATGAGAAATGCATCAATCTGGATGACACTGTGCGAAAAACATTCTCCACGGTTAGGGAACGTATCGCTCAAGCAACGATCCTCGCTCATCAGGACCCTGAAGCGCCCGTTAGTATCGCAGTAGACGCATCCGACTCAGCAATCGGAGCAGTCTTACAACAAGGGGTTAACCACTCCTGGCAACCTTTGGCATTTTTCTCTAGACGGTTGCTAGACACTGAATCGAGGTACAGCACATTCGGAAGGGAACTCCTAGCTATGTATTGTGCTCCAAAGAAGAATCACTGACTACAAGTGCATAGTATTTTTCAAGAAATGAACCACAATAGCCTGCATGAATTCTCTGTCGGGCCTCAGACGATACTGGCCATGGAGTCTACTTCGAATGTTGATTTTTCAGCTTATGACATTTCTCACAATTGTTTGCTGTACGACATATAAGTGCATTTATCTCTAGCCACCAACACGTGAGCCTCGCCAATGACTTCATTTTCTCAACACCTAAATGTCCACTACGAAGATCTTCAAGGACAGATTTATGCAGTGAAGGAGGAATAATAACACGATCATTTAAACACAAAATTTCATCAGGAGTAGTACATAGCCCTTCCTGCTTTGAAAAATAGACAGGAAATCTGCGTTTCAGATTAGCATTTCAACCTTTCCGTATAGCATTAATTACACATTCAAAGTATCCACCAGTTTCTCAAGTCAGATCTGGACGTTTCACCGCTACAGGTTGCACTAGCAAAGTCTGAAGTATTAACAAGTTTATCTTGTAATGGATGTCGAGAAAAGTAGTCAACTAGTTGAAGTTGTTTGACACGCCTGTCTGAACCGTATAGTTATAGGCGCACAAAGCAATACTCCATCATTGAACCATAGCAGCTAAGGGACGTGGTAATGAGTTTTCAGGATGACAAATGAACTGTAAAGCTTCACGAACAGTAACAATAGTGATTTTATCTCTGATTAAATATTTAACAGCCCAAAAAACAGTCAATGATTCTCGCTGAGTCTGTGAATAGCCTTGTTCAGTAACAGCAAGTTTGCGTGAAACACAGATAACTGGTCTACCTTCCTGCTCCAAAACTGAGCCAATACCCACAAGTGATGCATCAGTAATAAGCACAGAAAGTACATTGGGGGAGTTAGTTCGAGGAACAGCATCACTTTGAAGAAAGGTTGGTAGACTTCATAAGCATGACTCTTGTTCTTCAACCCCATTTGAATGAATCGGATGTCAAAATATTAAATAAACCATTTGCACGACAAGAAAAATTAGGAATAAAACAGGAATAGTATTGAAGAGCACCCACTAGTGAACGTAGTTCAGTGGATCTAGTCGTTTCATATCTAGTCTAAAACCATTACCATCAACTAGGTATCCAAGACATTCAAAACTAGATACACAAAATGAACACTTATTTGGATTCACTGTAATATTCTTCTCAATTAAGCGACGCAATAAGGCAATAAGTCTCTGCTCATGAACTACCTTATCAGAACCCTGAACAATGTGATCATCTTGATAAACTTCAACACATTCAAGATCACTAACCACCTTATTCATAACTTCCTGAAATATGGCTGGAGAACAGCTTAGACCAAATAGAAGAAAACTGTATTTGAACAGACCAAAAGGAGTGTTAACAATAGGAGTACCGCATGCTAAAGGCTGAATCGCTTCATTTATGCTTTTCGCACAAAAATCAATCAATGACTTATGTGCTGCTTCTCGAAAACTATAAGGACTTATTCGTTATTTAAGAACGAATGAATGGCCCTGTACTTGAAGTTTTAAAGGCTGCATTTTCATACTTCCACTGCACTTAGCACACGTGGCTATCAAATCTTTAAGTAAAGCATCAAAATTTTCTTTAGAAACTAGGAAAAGTAAATCCACTTTAAGGCTT